AAGTTATTACTTAAAATCGCACGTGGTAGTCCTCTATTCATGCAAAAACAGAAACTGAATTCATAATTAATTGTGTGGAGATAATACTGGATCAAGAATATATGGATAACCAAAAAGTTAAAATTGCACGTTGTAGTTTAATTATTAAATTAAGATTTAATGGCTTAGAGATAATTATTAATTGTTTAGAGATAATTATTAATGGTCTAGAGATAATATAGGAACAATAATATGTGGATAAGTGATGATTTAAAATTGCATGGGTTAGTTCTTTATTAATGCAAAATCACAAACTGAATTCATAATTTACGTAAGAGATAATATTGAACAATAATATATTGACATCTCATTCTTTAACATTGCACGTGGTAGATAATTTACATGGTATGAATTAGTTAAGATATATATTGACAACGAAATATCTCATCTTCTTAACTAAATTTCACTTATCTTATCATCATACAAGAGTTTCAATTTATTAAAACTCATATTTTAAATTGATCTAATGTTTATCAACTATTATCTCATGCCTATAAAATTATAAAATGATAGTGCATCACGTATCGCAAAAAAATGTTACTCCTATTTGGACGTAAAACATTGAAGTAGAAAAATGGCAAAAGTCTGGGGAAACATCAAACAAGTAATAAGGACTAACAGGCCAATGATCAAGCTAAGAGTTGTTCGAGTCTTTCAAAGGACTAATGAATACTCATCCTACAAGAACATCCTTGAGATTATATTTTTTTTTCAAGGGCGGTCGAATTATGGCAATAATAAGAGTAATAAACATCCCTACTTTCATCAATAAATTTGAAGAAGGGGTTGTCTATGCACTTCAAAACTATCAGGTCGAGAGTAACATTGGAATGTACAGATCCACCATTGCCAAATACAGGCTTATCTTACATGGTAGAACTGAACACATAAGCTACAAGGGTGACTTTTCAATTTACCGTTTCGACTTTCGAAGGTTCATCAAATTGATTGATGTCGAGAAGATCGACGAATCAATCCTCTTCGGTAATCGCATTTTCAATTATTTTTATTTTAGTTTTTAGAATTTTTATGATAAATAATAATTTTACTCTAATTTAACACATATTTAGATGTCATTGGAATGGTGGTCGAGATAAATCTTGTGCAATTGAAGAATAAAGCATAATACTATTTTCAACAGCACATTTAAATAACATAATTACAATAAAGTATCCTTAATATTTATCAGTGAATAATATAATACTATAATTTTTATACCATGCTAATATACTAACATAAATACATTTAATGATTAAACACGTGTACATTAACTCAGTCAATCTCTTTACACGAAA